CTTTATTTCACATTTAGTTAATCACACATATAGTATTTTTAATTATATTTATCAGCTGGCAATGAGACTTTTTAAGCCTGGGACCTCCAGGTAACAACTCTGCTGCTTGGTGGGGTCACGTCAGGTTAGTAGGAGGTCCTACAGTAAAGATCTGGACGGACTGTGTTCAATGAAGACAAAATGGGTCCAGACCACCTCTAATGGTCTAAACCACTGTTTCCCAAAATTGGGGAAACATCAAGGTGGGGTCCTAAAAAGATTTTCTGAATTAATTACATTTTTGCCTTATTTGTTACAAAGAAGTGACGTTAGTATATTTAAAATGGATAAATGTAGTATAAAAATATTGTTACTACACTCTGGAGAAATTATCTTTTTCTGTTCATGGTCGGAGAGAATCCTTTTTCAGGATCTGGTCTAAATGGACAAACTATGTAAAGTCGATTATTCCAATAGACTAAATATGTCCATTACTTGTAAGTACTGTTTTATTGTTTACTATACCTTAATTCAGGATTATGGGAAATGTTTGCTCTTGACTGTGTTTTACCTCCAACGAAAGAAAAACTACACTTGGCCCTCTCTTTCCCCCTACTCACTCCTTTTGTTTTTTGTTGTTCGGTTGTTATACAAAAAACCTTGGATTGGCTTGTGTAGTTCTTTTCTTCCTTCCAATGTGGTGGAAACTGGAATGTAAAAATGATTGTATCTTGCCTTTCCAAATAAAAATTACTTTTAAAAAAAATATTGTTACTATGCCCATGTTTTGTTAACCTGATACAAAATCATCCAAAAATAGTTGGGGCCACAGGTCTCTGCTACTGTTATTTTGTGGGTCAAAAGCTGAAAAGTTTGGGAACCACTGAACTTTAGTTCCCAAAGTTGGGCTTGGGANGGATTTTCACCTGTTTTAGTTTTCAATTTGTTGTAATCTATTCACACCTGAAGAAAACATCTTTACACACAAATATTTCAGTCTAAATTTATGTAAACATCTTATTGTTCCATATTTTCCTAACAGAGTACTTCCCTCTCAGACTGCAGGTTTACTTGTGGTTCCTCGAGTTTCTAAACGTAGAATAGGAGGCAGAGCTTTCAGTTATCAAGCTCCTCTCTTGTGGAACTAACTTCCAGTTTCTGTCCATGAGGCTGACACTCTGTCTACTTTTAAAGGGATTCATGATTAGTTGTAACAATAGACTTTATTTGATAAACACTTATTTTAACTGTAAAACAAAGATTGTAAAAATACTGTAGGCTGTTTAG